AGGTGCGTCAATCCGTCGACTGACATCTATTCCGACGCTCGCGATAACGCGCATTGAATTCCGCGTTCGAGCGTCGATTGTACTCAACTGACATGTATTGTATGTAGGTGAGTCATGTGAACCACGCAGCCCCTTGAGGTGCTACATTCACTGCAACAGAAGTGCAAACCACCGATCCTCGAGTCCAATCGTGACCTCCGAATCGTGAACATGTATCAAAGTGCGAGGAGGACGAAAGGGAAAATGCATGATACACTTACAAAACTGCGCTTGCTAAAGTTGCACCACACACACATCTTTCAATGAGCGGGCACGATTACTGCAAACCACTGACAGCTGAATCGAGCGCATCGCGCATCTAGCAAGGAAATCCAAGATGCACACAAGTTGAAGTGCAGCTAAATTTCGGCATTGTTTTTTTTTATAAACGATTCCACTTTACTCATAGGAATAATTAGCAGTTTATTCATTTATAGGCATTAATTAACAGCGTTTAAATATAACTATTTTACGCTACGATATTTTCCCTAACGAGAATTTTCACCTCCACGATGTGTAATTGCCTACACGGCGGTGCTGACTGCCACCCCGCTATCAGCTTTCCCTTCTTGTCCCTCGGTCCCAGTGTTATAATCTTTCGCAGTTATTTATTTGGGTGTTAATCAATGTTTAATGTTCAGTTATTTTTATACTCAATGCTAACATATCAAACGGGTTTATCGTTTTACAAAAAAAAAACAACAACAACAACAACAACAACCCCACAACACATGGGGTAAGAAGTTTCACATTTCTATACAGCAGGATGGTCTCAGTCTGGTCGTCACGAGCAGTTTGACATGTTGGGCCTTCGGGCATAGACTCAGCAACTGTGTAGTAAGTGCGGTAAAAAAAAATTATTGAAACAAAAACATGACCAATTGTAGTTAATTTGGTTGCTCCAGCCTTCAGGCACTGCCATATAATTTATTTAAAATTTAAAATGTTTATTTTATTTAACTGACAAAATTATGCATCCATTCATTTTAAGTACAATGTCACAGCTGGAAAATGACAAATATATTGGATCACATTTGAAAGAACCCCCCCCCCCCAAGAAATTAATGTAAAATAGTTCTTACAAGTGTAACATAAGAATAGATTTCACAGTCGGAGCAATGCAATACAAGTCCTACTGAAATAATGAGAAAGGGTGGCCATGTATGTGTAATTACAACATTCAAATTTACGTGTGAATTTGTGTGGTAACTCCCACCTCTTCCGAGATGTCTCGTCAGTTGTTGGAAAGTAGGCCAAATGCCTTCTAGAAGGGCTCTCCTGAACTCCCTCTCGTTTGTGAATGAAAGATAAAAAAAAATGGATTTGGGCTATGACCCTAGCGAGCAATCAACAACTCATTTAAGCCTTTAACGTTAAGCTTATAACATAACATCCTGCTAATTCCCAAAATGAAATGTATTTGGCTGCAGTCAGGATTGACCTTTAACTTCATTCGGGCAGAATCCGTGGTGACGGCTTGTACTCGTGCACATATGCATAAAGCAAAATCGATTCTTACGCTCAAGAGACCCAATATTCATGCAACAAATTGTACAATTTTGATTTAAAGCTTTCGTGACTGCAGTAATTCATATTCTTATCTCTTTCGGTAAAGTCTTGTTGAAGGGAAACAATAAAATAATAAAATATATATAAAACAATAAAAAATAAAAATTCTCACGACGTTTCGACCATAGCACAAACGGTCATCATCAGGTGTGACTTTACCGAAAGCGCTAAGAATATCAACAAATTGTACTTGTAAGAATCAACTAATTTTATGAATCATGCGGAATACTCATAAATTATGCAGTGCATAAAACAGTACAAACTAGATATGATAATGAACGAAAAAATTAAGATGGTAAAAATGTAAAAACAAAGACCTTAAGTGACTGTCTCATAATAATAGGGTTTTCCCCATTTTTTCTGGCAACAAAAAAATCATAGTGTGGGTTTTTTTTTGTTTGCATTTGACTGCAAGTATTGTGGTTAATGCAAACATGAATCCATGTAAAAAGGTTTCAGTTTTGTTGCCAGAAAAAATGGGGAAAACCCTATTATTATATTTTGGTACTGGCAAAGGAGGTCCAATGATGACTCTGTCTCATTGACATTTGAACTTCATGGCGGTACTATTGTACCATAGTACCCCGGCTCTCGCACAATGTCCGTGATGCAGTCATTTTTAGTCTGTTGATGGTCGGCGATGCAGCAATCGACTCATCTCGACGAGCTGTACTCACGATGCACGATTCAAAGTTGAATTTTTCGAGAACAGATTTTTTTTTATGCTAATGTTTGTCGTTTCGACATCGCGGAGTGTAGCACTGATTTCGGATCGATTGCTACCCCAGTGGCGGAGTTAAGTTCAACCCCGGAAAAAAAATAGTGTCCCAGAAATACAATATTTAATTGCCTCGGTCATTCTGTATTATTTGGTACCCCGGGGTACCGCCATAAAGATCACGTGTCTAACCATTCAGCCAGGCATCTGGCAATCGTATCATAATTCCAGAACACATTCATTCACCCGCATGTTACTGTGCTTATGGAAAACTGAACTTAATGAAAAGCAACAAAACGGCATGCCTAAATGAGTTTTTTTTAAATCAGTGCTATATTACCAGTGGTAACAGATGGTTCACGTGAACGTTGACAAAATAAATTGCGCAGAAGGTGCAAAGTGCACGGTGAAAGCGTGGAGAGATGCGCGCTGAGAAATGCACGCTGAGAGATAAGAAAGAGGAATGCACGGATCGGGGATCAAACGCAAATCAGAGACACTGTATTGGCTGTTAGGAAAAGTAAGCTAGCGTAGGCAAGACACGTCAGAAGGAGTGATGATGGGCAGTAGCCGAGACTGACAATAAAGTGGCAGCTAAAGGAGGGAACACACTTAAGGGGACGTCCCAGTTTGTAGATGTATTGACGAGATCAGCTTATGCGCGATGATTGTCACATCGCAAGACTGTGATGACTTGGGGAACACTTGATTGTATGGATGTATGTTGAAATTCTTTCGCACTGTAAGTAGCCAACCGAGCTAATCAGAGGTACGGGGGGAAGGACAACACACTAAACACAAAAAGCAGTTCTAAAGAAACAAGTTTTTAATCTAGATGTAAAAGTGCATAGCTCCAGTGGCTTCCAAATATCAGAAGGAAGAGCGTTCCAGTTGGCCGCTTAAGCGCTAACTGAGCAGTGAACAGATCATGGCTGAATTTCGATTTAAAGCTTTCGTGACTGCAAGGATTCATCTTCTTTGGTTCTTTCGGTAAAAGTCACGTAGAATGAGAATAAAATAATAAAATAATAAAATAAAATAACACAATAAAATTCTCACGACGTTTCGGCCACAACACAAGCAGCCTTCTTCAGGTGAAAGAACGGAACTGTCGGGACGGCAGAGCTTCAAAGCCGAAACGTCGTGAGAATTTCATTGTGTTATTTTATTTTATTATTTTATTCTCATTCTACGTGACTTTACCGAAAGAACCAAAGAAGAGAATAAAAAGATCATGGCTGGTGACGATGACAAATATGCTGCATTTTTCTGAGCACATACATTCAGTTGTAGTGTAGTAAGTAAGCTCATTATTTCAATTGTGCCCCTGCACCCTCCACAAAAAAACGTCACTCATCCATATGTTACAGAATAAGTGCAAAAATAATGGGGAAAAAAATCAGGAAATGATAAACAGGAACAAACGAACATATTGCACTTAGCATAAATTTGAGCAGCAACATAACGGAGAGAAAAAAAATATAAAAAGAGTCAGGAAGCTCCAAAAAACATGCTGCGATGATCTATCTCACACACACTCACACACACTCACACACACTCACACACACACTCACACACACACTCACACACTCACATACTCACATACACACACTCACTCACACACTCACACACACTCACACACTCACTCACACACACTCACACACACTCACACACACACTCGCTCACTCACACACTCACACACACACTCGCTCACTCACACACTCACACACACACTCGCTCACTCACACACTCACATACACACACTCACACACTCACACACACTCACTCACACACACTCACACACACTCACACACACTCACACACACACTCACACACACTCACTCACACACACTCACACACACACTCACACTCACTCACTCACAGACACTCACTCACACACACACTCACACACACACACTCACACACACTCACACACATTCACACACACACACTCACACACATACGCTCACACACTCGCTCACACACACACTCACACACACACTCACACACTCACTCACACACACTCACACACACTCACACACACACTCACACACACACTAATGATATATCTCTCACACACACTAATGATATCTCTCACACACACTCACACACTCACACTAATGATATCTCTCTCACTAATGATATCTCTCTCTCACTAATGATATCTCTCTCTCTCACTAATGATATCTCTCTCTCACCCTAATGGATGGATGTGAAAAAAAACGGGCATTTAAAATGCAACAGTGCTTAGACATATCTGCTGAAGCGGCATAACCGTGGATGAGAAAAAAGAATCCATAGCGAGGGCGATCAGCGTAATTGTGTCTCGGGAATAAAAAAAAAAATCTATCGCAGGGAAATGGCCTGTCATGCGCAGGCGGCCACAGACCCGGGTACAAAGCAAAACATGGATTTTTATTGACGTGTTACTGATCCGTTGCAAACGAGCGAAATGTTATGTCCCCACAGTAGAAGCGCCACATTGAGCCCAAAGACCTGAGCGCCGTTGTGGGCAAATTCCACGCTCAGCGTTCTGCACATCTCTCAAGTGAAACGTCCGGACAGTTATCTGATTTTAATTCGGTGAGGGCCAAAAGTGCCAAAGGTGACGATGGGTGAAATCGCATGTTTGGAGAGAGATTGCGACTGAAAAGTTGTTTCTCCGATCTAACACCTTGACGTAGAGCTGTTGAAACTCCTCCAGGTTCAGCTTGCCACTGGGGCAGTCCTTGAGGAAGCCCTTGTACCACTGCTTCAGCTCAGCCTCGTTGAATTCTGTGCTCTTCAGTAAGTCCTCCAGCACCTCTGGAGCCAGCTTGCTGTTTTGCTTACCCATCGCGAGCGGTCAGAGCTGTGGGGTGAATGAAGAGGACAAGAGTCATTCAGGTCATTGCTCACCAAGGTTCCACAACATCTTTCACTGGCTCAACAGAAAATCGACATTGCTTTTGGCGTGCAGCATTATGGGAAAATCTGACAATGCCTTCATAGTATTTTTTTGTTACAACTGATGAAAATTGGCATGAGTAGAAACGTGATGTTTGAATAAAAATACTGCTAAAAGTAAACATTCAACTTGAATGGCTAATAAGAACACAACATATTTTATTGTTTCCCTTCTACGTGACTTTACCGAAAGAACCAAGAATATGAATCCCTGCAGTCACAAAAGCTTTAAATAAAAATTTAACATATACCAGGTCAAAACGAGCTGAAAATGTAAATAACATGACTAATTGTCGTTTATATATGCAGGCTGTAAATACAAAAATATTATAGTCAACTCTCAATTATCTGCGGGAATGGGGGAAGGGGCAGCACGGATTTAAAAAAAATATATGAATCGGGCATAAAAGTTGTGAATTAGGCTACACAATGCAATGTGTTGTTTACCAACATAGAATGGCCATTTTTATTGTTTCTTGAAGACGTTGGTTTTTTGGTCACGTGAGTCACCGACCCACAATGAGTAAGGAGCAGTGGCTATTAAAACCAACGGGTGAGTAAAAGCTAAATATATACTTTATATTTGTTTCATTCCCACGGTTAATCCGCAACTCAGATAATCCACACACTCAAGAGTTCTAGGGTGCGGCAAAACAATGTCGATGCGTAAGAAGTATATTTTCTCGACAATTGAACATTATTGTTAATTGTAGTGGCAAGAATTTATAATGTGTCGATAAAACAAAGTTTGCTTAGCCTCCCCAAGCCCCAGCCACCTATCACGATCCTGCCATGTAACAAGCTATCAGTGACTATAGGCCATTTATTGTTCTGTGAACAAAAGGTAAAATTTTGATATAAAGCTTTCGTGACTGCAGGGATTCATATTCTTGGTTCTTTCGGTAAAGTCACGTAGAAGGGAAACAATAAAATAATAAAAATATAAAACAATAAAATTCTCACGACGTTTCGACTGCAACACAAGCGATAATCATCAGGTGTGAAAAGCACAGCAAGAAAATTTGAAAAAAGTGGCGGTTTTTTTTAACGTTAGCACCACGGAGAGTGATTTGACAGTTTGTTCAGAGGGACGAGTCCATCTATGTTCGGAAAAGAGGAGGGGGTGGCGAAAATAATGGATGCGGTCTGAAAGCCACCGTAAGCGTGAACAATCAATTAAGACCCGAAATGGTTTATCAAATCGTTCCAATGATTGCTAAGCCAGAATCCATCTTCTCGGTTGAAATTGTCTCTGTGTTTGTATATGTGGATAGCCTCATGAACGAATCTCTCATGGTAGCCAGATGGCTTGCAGAGAACCTCTGTCTTGGAGAAGTCAATGTCATGTGAGCCTACTGAATTATAACAGTGATCTGCCACGGCCGAGGTGTTGGTCCTACCGTGTTTTAGGTCTGTTTTGTGTTCATGAATGCGGTCTGAGACATGTCGTTTGGTTTCTCCAATGTAACTACTACCACAGAGGCAACTTAGTTTGTAGACGCCAGGGTACTGTATGTCCGGAATCACATCTTTGACAGACGGAACCAGATCACGGATTTTATGTAATGTGTTGAATCGGACCTGGATCTTGTGTTTATTCAAGATTTTGGAGATCTTTTTTGTGATCCCCGCAATGTAGGGTAAAGTGATGGTTTTGAATGATAAAACAATGCTTGCATTCGAATAGCTGGACACAAGCAAGTGCATCCGGTGCCAAACCATGGCAATTTAATCACCCTGAGCCGTGTTACATCCGAGCTCACTTACCCCCAAAGCTTGTCCCCATTTAGAAACCCTTTATTAATATTGATGGCAATGTTCTGAAAGTCATCATCCCAAAGGATTCCTCTCGTCACCTACAAACTCAAAAATTGACCTCCGACCCACAGGAGGCATCCCGCAATTCCTAGGGGACGGACAACACGTGTTGTACGTGTCGGGGAGGTCATGTGGCCGCACAAACTATTCCCATAGCTGCTTAAATATATACGCATTTACCTTTATGAATGCCTTTAAGTAGGAATCACTTTTCGAGCACAGATAATTTCAACTAACCCCCCCCCCCCCCCATGCTAAATCACTCCACAGCAGCAACAGAATTAGATTAGACTCATACAAAGCAGCATTGACACCGGCAGACTCAAAGAATAATGGGAACATTTCCCCATTACCATTAATATTAAATCAAAATACATCTTGTTCTGGGGGGACAGTGGCATACAGCAACACGGACAGTGACAGTGTTTGAGAACCCCAGAAGATTAAAATACAACCACGATGCACAGGCAAACTCCAAACCAGACACACAAGGGTCGACTTTGTTTTTTTTTTTTACGCTGTAGCGAATGAATTATGCGGGTGTGTTGTACTTTGTAAATGTGATAGGACGACTGCTTCTGCAGTGACCACGCATTGGCCAGCTTTGTTTTTGTTAAAATTATATATCATTGGCACATACACTATGGGACATACTCTTTGGTTCTATTGGGTAAAGTCACGTAGGTGAAAATAAAATAACAAAAAATCACGACGTTTTGGCCACAACACAAGCGGCCTTCATCAGGTGCGCTGTCCTCCAGACAGTCTCGTCCCTTCACCTGATGAAGGCCGCTTGTGTTGTGGCCGAAACGTCGTGATTTTTTGTTATTTTATTTTCACCTACGTGACTTTACCCAATAGAACCAAAGAGCATGGATCCTAGCAGTCACGAAAGCTTTAAATCTAGAACTATGGGACATTCCATCAGAAATAATCATAAATGTTGGTGCAGAATGATCATTTCTAATTGCGCGTTATGAAGGATCTGAGTGTTATAAATTAATAGCTGCCATTTTAAAACTTAAAACAAGACGATGCATTTAAATGTTGAGAGTCGTCACGTTTTCATGGAACGCATTAAAGTTTAATGAGGTGGACGACTTGCTAATGTCTTCCTCGGCAGATGAGAGTGCCCATCATCTGAGACAAAAAGTGTGCACAGGCCTCTACAATGTGGAAGTCTTATCAGGCAAGTATGCTGGTGGGAGCCCACGTTGGTATATGCATTCTGCTTTGACTTGCAAAGCACTGTGGGTATTTCCCATGATACTGTACGGCATTAATATATTTCACCTTAACTTGGACTCATTGAAAGACGGACAGGTGCGGGTCAACCAAACACTTGCCTGAAAACAATAAAAAGGCTGCACATTTTAATAAAGGAATACGCGTCACGTTGATGCGTTTGAGCGAGCAGATGAATTTATATAGGGTTCAGACTCTTGCCGTGTTGGGTAATTGCACTCTGCAAGGGTGCGAGGAATAACAGATGGAGTTAAGGGTTCATAAACCATGAGGCAGCCCCCCCACGCGGGTTTCTCTCCAGCTGCTGCTGTCATTTTTTTTGATAGCCGAGTGTGCGACACCTTTCTGCGCAGGGTGGGATGGGTCTCCCCGAGACTTTGAGCTCGTGGCTCGAACCGGTCCAGCGAGCGAGACTTTAATGCAGGCAGTGACGCGCACCTGGTGAGCATCGAGGGTGTCGAAATTAATAGGCAGTACGGCAGGTAGGTTGCCGAGCTATTTGAATAGTGGCCATATTTTAAGGACATTTTGTCTGTCACAGAAGAGGCGAGTAATTCGATGGATTTTCTTGCCAACGTTATTTATGGGTTTATTGTTTGAAATAATGGTATGTAAAATATCATCATGGCAAACTGCTTTTTGGACATTTTTCTACTGCAACTTATATAACATGTTCATGAAATTGCCCTTATTTGAGGAGCAATAATAAATTGGCCCAACTTTCCAAGCAAGATGCTGCTGTAACAGCCTTGAGCCTCCTATAATAGACGTGTGATTTTTTTGGGGGGTAATACAAATTCTTATTAGGAGTGATGTTAAGTTGGGTTTTCGTTAATATCTTCATGAAGTTTTCATTTCCATGACACGTAAATGTCCTTTAAAAACAACACACAGGTAGCAGAGGTTCACAGAGCAATGAGGAATGACCGTAAAAGTCTCAACGCAGGGCTGTGTCCCAGTCGCCTTCCCTTACTATATAGTGGCTCGACAGTGGTCCATTTATAACATATCGGTCATTTTATAGGTTACTATTCTCATGAAGTAATTGCCTACCATGTACAGAATCAAGCTGCTACACATGTGCAAAAAGAATACAATAATAATGATAATAATTTACAGTCCCTTGTCAATTCACTGCTGGATGAATGCTTCCCCATGCCATGTTGGCCACTGGGGTTGTCTGACCATATTTGACCATGTTGACAGGTTCAGACGCCAACTTGCCACTGATGTAAGCCGTGGCTGGGAATTGACTTCCCGGGATCATGTTAACTGCTGTGCCGCCGTTACCCTTAATATATGGTTAAAAATATGTACTTGATAAACAACTTATGAAGGAAATATAAAAGACGTTTATGAAAGTGATCACATCAAATGCTAATTACTGGTGGTGAGGGCAGAAATGGTAAAGTTATTGATTAGTTTTGCGTCTCGGCTAGAACTAAAGCCTGGAAATTAGCTCCAATTTGAAATTAATAATACTGGCAGCATTACAGTCTTCAAGGCGCATTTAATGACATAGCTTGCTCAATGAGGCATTATCATCAAATGTTTGTGTCTAAATAGCTTCGAGGCTAATACACTACTTGCAGGCACTATAGAAATGTAATGATTATGGTGATATTGTGGTTACATTTACATTTCTCTACGCGATGCATGAGCAATATTTCTGCTGCTGAGTATGAACAGAAACTGTGCTTTAGCAAATCAAGAATTGAAACCAGGGGGTCGGCAAGCTGCTGGTCTGGAGCGGGACACGGCTCTTTATGGACTGCTTCGTGACCTTATTTTTGTAAGCACCACCGTCTCGTATTCACCACATGCATCGTGCGGCTCTTGAAT